AGACATTGTCGAGTGGATCTTGAGACACATACAACTCGGACAGGGAATCAGCGTGACACATCTGAATCACAGAAAACGCGAATCCCTTCAGTCCTGGCGACAGCAACAGCATATGGTGAGGGCGGCCAATTGGTTGCCTTTCACGAAGCAGACAATAAGTAGGTCGTGTGCGTTCGTGGACGACTCCATCAGCTGTTGCAAACTAAGGTTTGGGCGACTTCGGGTAACGACTAAGCGGGTTTTCAAATCTCAAACCCTGCATCATCGTGCGACGCCATACTGCCATCGCGACGATGATCGATAATGCTTGATGCGCATGACATCGGAATGCTCAGCAGTTGTCGTACTCGAGTACGACGACTGCTGAGCATTCCGATTTCACTGATCAGTAGCAGGTTGGACAGGCATTACTGGCTCCGTGATATGAAGGCAGTGACAATTGACATCGCCCAAAAAACCATACCAGGATTTGCTTTGAAATCGTTACACACATTTAACTTACTAGTCAAACATCCTAACATTAATACACCACTGCTCTTGAATGAAACAGGCCCGAGTCCGAAACTGCTTCTCACAGGGGCGTTTTGCACTCATACAACAGGCTACGGGCCACAGGCTACAGACCTCAACCCTCAAACTGAAGCACACGTTCTCCCTCCACCGGCCACTTCATCTCATGCATCAAGCACCACACATTGCAGTCATCAAGGCTACAGTGCAGGACCTTCCTCGAGAGGCGACGGGTCGATGTTGGCTCAACTTGATATGCCTGGGTGCATTTCGAGGGGGAATTGCATTCGTCTTTGTGTAAACTCTGTTCGTCACGCATTAGATGGCTTTCATTGACCAAGTGGTCGACAGATGCTATTGTGTATTTTCAAAGCGTTCCATTCCTTCGATGGTATTGACGTACTGTCAGTTTGCGCCAAGCAATTGCTCCCCACGACTTCTGTGATGGTGGATCAGTCTGCAACACACAACACACCCAACAGATGAAGGTGAAAAATACCAATCCCTTTTCATTCGGCACCTTCTCACAGTCTTTTAACTGCTCCCATTTTTTCCTTCCCTCCCCATCCCTTCCGCCTCACATTTCTCTTCTACTTCTTGCTCTACCCTCGACGCAAACATGTGCTGGAAATGTACTTATCGCGTGATGGGCAAGAAGGCGGGCCGATTCCTATTGCGCTGGATCATGCTCATAAGCGAAGGCCTGTACTATACAGCTTGTGACCTAGTCCAGTATGGAAAGCGAGCCGAGGCCACGACCTCATGGGTGCCGTCATCGTGCC